AAGAGACGCTGCAGGTGTAAGAGACGCTGCAGGTGTAAGAGACGCTGTGTGTTGAGGTGCATTAAAGTTGAAATGTCTTTAAAACCCCACACCTTATTGTCCTCAAGCTTCATTAGAAACATCATTTAGATGAGTAGTGTTGAACACAAGTAAAAAAGTCCAGTGGTGATGTTTTTTTTTTTTTTTCTCTATAAAGACAAATAGTGCTGATCTGAGGCTCTGTATTAAAGTGTATTAAAGTTAAAATGTCTTTAAAACTCACAGCTGAATTTACACAAACTTGATGAGAAACATGCTGTAAATGTGTGGAATTAAAGGAATTATAGGTGAAATGCTGCTTTTTTTGTACAGTAGTGTACACTTCTTTGCACGCACACACCTACACACATCATTGTGTCCCCCCCACATTACGGATACTTCTGACGCCCTTGGGTACAAGTTGATGAAAGTACAAATTCTACCCTTAGTTAAAGATTGTTTTAATAACATTATAAAGGGTGGTGCCCCTCCCCCCAATGGAAAGAGGCCTTTACATCCGTAATTCATAAAGAAGGGAAAAATAAATTAGACTGTAGGTCTTATAGACCTATTAGTATTCTCAGTGTCGACTACAAGCTCTTTGCTTTAATTCGAGCTAGACAAATGGAAGAGGCCATGTCTTTTCTTATAGATGAAGACCAAACAGGTTCTATTAAGGACCGTCAAGCACATGACAATATACGTAGAACCATCCACATTATAGATGGAATCACAGAGACAAATTCTAGTCAGTCCTTCTCAGCTTAGACGCAGAGAAGGCTTTTGACTCAGTTAGCTGGCAATTTCTTTACCAAACAATGGGCAAATTTGGCTTCTCAGAACAGTTTATACAGTCCATTAAGGCACTATATTCTGCTCCAACTGCGATGATAAAAATAAATGGTGGTCTTTCTAAACCAATAAAACTTCAAAGAGGCTGCCGCCAAGGATGTCCACTTAGTCCATTCCTTTTTAACTTGTTTATAGAACCCTTAGCGCAGATGATCAGACAAGAAGAAGAACTTAAAGGTATAAACATAAATGGCACAGATTACAAAATTTGTTTATATGCAGATGATGTCTTGGTAAGCCTTTTGAAGCCAGGTTCTAGTGTACCTCTACTTATGAATGCCCTCAAATTATTTGGATCTCTTTCTGGATACGTTCTTAATGTTAATAAAACTCAAGTTCTTTCTTTCAATTTTACCCCCACTCAAGACTTAGCCAGACAATATGATTTAAACTGGAACTCAACATGTATTCAATACCTGAGGGGGTGTATACCAAGGGACCTCTCTTGTCTTTTTGTTAGCAACTATGAAAATATTACAAAGGAAATTAACAGGGAACTAGACACATGGGGCTCGCTCCCCTTGGACATAGGTGAAAGACTCAGGTCAATTAAATGGTCATTTTACCTAAATTATTATATCTTTTTAATGCACTACCTGTGGAGATTCCCCCAAGTCAATTCAGGGAATGGGACAAATGCATATCCATGTTTGAGTGGAACAAAAAAAAAAAAAAAAACACAAATAAAATATACAATCCTTCAGTTGCCAAAGGACAGGGGTGGCTTGGCTTTGCCATGTCTCAGATATTATTACTTTGCAGCTCTATTAAGACCGCTTGCTCTTTGGTGTGATGAATCCTATGAGGCTAAATGGAAAGGACTAGAGCACTCTCTTACTGAACTGCCACTGCACTCAGTACTGGGTTGTGTACACTGTGCAAAATCACTTCTTCAGCATGGAACTTCTGTTTATGGACATCCATCAGAATATGGTTACAAATCGTAGAGATGTTTCAGATTCATAGACAAACTGGGATCCTGGGCTGGCCAGTGTGCGACCCACACTTTCAACCAGCAGTTCATAATCATAGATTTAAACAGTGGTTGCAACTGGGCATAACAACAATCAGCAATATTACTTCTAAAGTCCAGATGGATAGTTTTCAAAACCTCTCACTCAATTTTGGTCTAGGGAAAAATGATTTTTTTTAGATATCTCCAGCTCCGTCACTACTTTGTGAAGGAAATACAGAATGCACTGACTGAAAACCCCTCTAACCTAGTTCAGATCTTTGTGGATACTTACAAAAGTGGTAGTACAAAAAAAATTTGTAGGAAAATTTTACAAAATCCTAATCTCAACTGATAATAAAACTCACCTTCATGTGAAAAAACAATGGGATAAAGATCTAAAAACAGAAATATCAGGAAACTGCACTACTAACTCACTCATTTGGAAAGATTTCTGTTGGCAAAGCTTGATCCGTTTCTTTATTACACCTGTACAGAAATCAAAGATAACGGCTGTGCAGCCCTCCTGCTGGAGGGAGTGTGGATCTATTCAGGCAGATCATGCTCATATATTCTGGTCATGTCCAGGTAGAACTGACTTTTGGTTAAAGGTGAATAACTTAATCTACTCTGTGTTAGATATTACAGTGGATCAGTCTTTCCCTACACTGTTTCTTAGTGTACCGCCCAGGGGACTACACCAAAGTGACTTGTATATATTCAGGATTATCCATGTTGCTGCGAAGAAAGCCATCACAAAGTGCTGGCTCAGAAGAGAAACTCCCACAACAACTCTAGTGAAACAAATTATCGAGCAGATAAGATCAATGGAACTTATGACTTATTCTCTCCGTGTACAACAGCACAGGGGGAAAAATACTGGAAGAAATGGAACGATTGTTCACACTCTGTGACAGACGACAATGTTTTGTAAGAAATGATATGTACCTGTGAAACTCCCTCAGGTATACTTGTTTCTAGGTTTTCTTTATTCTTTTCTACTTATTAGACATCTACACCTCCAGATGCAGGAAGAGGGCCACCTGCATCATGAAGGACCCCACCCACCCAGCACACACACTTTTTGCCCCACTCCCCTCAGGAAGGAGGTTAAGGAGCATTAAATGTAGAACCACTAGACTGAGGAACAGCTTCTACCCTGAGGCTGTTAGACTCATGAATCTCTAACTAGAATAATCACTGTGAAAAACCATATCATGTTGCTGCTGATCTGTTTCATGTTGCTGCTGATCTGTTTCAATGTTGATGTGTTCATGCGTGCACATCTGCTCACAGACTCATGTTCATGTTTGTGCTGATGTTCAATGTTTTATGTTATGAGTGCTTAGTGTATATTTAGTTGATGTTTTTCTTAGTTCATATCTTAGATGTCATTACTGTTTTTCTTAGACATTTTATTGTTGGATGTAACTGGGACCCTGCGTACATAATTTCGCTCCACCACATGTACCACATGAGGTGCGAATGACAATAAAGAAACTCTGACTCTTATTTGTTTGTTTGTTTACCTTTCTGTTATATGCCCAAATATGTTTGAAAAATGAAAAATAAAAAGTAAAAAAACCAACAAAGGCTTTAAAAGCAGAAATATTTGTACTGACAGGTACCTACCTTGATTTACGTGTCACCTGGAAGACATTTTGTGAAGGTGGGCTTTCACTTATCACTGTGGGCATGTAAACCTCAAAATCTTTGGGGACATTCTGTATGTTTGGTTCAGTAAAGCTCACTCTACCTGAAAATATAAAAAAACAGGACATAATGGGCTACATCCATTCTTGTTTATGTACTTCAAACAAAACAGCATTTCACAAAACATCTACACAGTCCGAGATCTTTCTGTGTGTTTTACCGGTGGTTGTGTGGGTCTGGGCGACTGGATATATTCTGTCCATCTTCAGTGTAGGATGATGCCGTTTCACCCTCTGCAGGGGGAAGACCACCTTAGTCAGGGCAATAGTGATCTGCCTCCACTCTAGAATCACACCTGGCAAAGGGTGCAGGGGGCGGAGTTTCTCCAGAACATCCTGAGGTGGAACATAAACCTCTCAGATCTTTGAAGTTGCTGAGATTTTTAGTTTGAAGTTGTGAGATACTCAAAACACTATGAAACATCTTCTCTATGCACTGCTAATATAATGCATATAATCTAAATCATCACAGATTCAATCATTCATTCAACCTACTTACTTTTATACTTTTATATTCTACTTTTACATATTGGACTATGACTCACCTGAATAAACAAGCATTCTTTGAAGAAATGCATACCGCCTGCTCCTTGCACGACCAAGTGTTAAGCAAAGATTTTGCACGTTTTTATGTCAAATTGCGTGATGGGGTTGACTCTCAGCTATAACCACATCATATTTTAGCTTAATATCTGTACAATTTACTGATTTACAGCCATTTTTGTGTTTGCTAGAGGCCATTTTGAATTTGGTTGACTACAAAAGTTATTCAGTTGTAGACGTACATCCAGTGAGGTGGTGTGCAATAATTATGCTGTATGAATAAACTTTCCTTTCTGAATTATAAAACGTTATAAGTTTTGCAAGAAGAAAGAACAATTTAGTATAAAGGTTGTTTGGTCACACCTTGGTGGTGCTGAAGTGCTTCCCAAGGCGTGCTCTGCCTCCACCTCTCCTGGTGTAACCCAGAGTCTTCTTACTCCTTGGTCCACCTGCATCACCATGAGGAGGTAAATGAAGCTCCAAGAACAACACCTACAGTGTGAGCATGAATCAAAATGAGTTATTATCATACCCTGATGGAATTACAGTCAAGACAAAAACATGGCTGCGGCACAGAAAAACAGCGTCTGACCTGCACTACGTCATCGACGCTGGTGAGGGAGAAGGTGTGTCCTGCCAGGCTGTAAGCTTCTGACTCCAACGCTGAAAGTTTGGCTTGCATCACGTTTTTGTCTCTCGCACTCGTCCACACTGAAACCAACTCATTTCAGCTCCAACAGGGCCAGACAAACCTGGGAGAGCATCTCTATATTCCTGAATAAATCTGACAGAAACATTCAATACTCCAAAAACAGTCCACAAGCAGTACAGTACATTGAAGGATTTGAACAGTGAATGTTTGTAGTTTTTGAGATGAGTGTTTTTCTGGACGGGAAGTGAGCAGGGGATTTAAGTAAACTTTAATGTTTTTGGAGTGAGATATTCAAGTGGGCAGGCGTTACACCATGGAGAAGAACAGAGGGAGTTTTTCTTTCTTGTCTGAGGCAGTGAGCGTCAATCCTGGCAAGTGGAGGAAGCAATTTTATCCACCACAAGGTGCAGTGGCAGAGCCAGGGGGTGGCCAATGGTGGCCTTGGCTGCCATAGATAAATCTTTGGCCACCCCAGTCATTTGAGGAAACTGCTTTCAATCAATATAAAAAATAGAAAGCATAGTTTCTTTAAATGATAGGGGTGGCTGGTATACATAAATATATGGCAGTGGCCATCTTGGATTTTAATGTGTCAACCCAAAATTTTAAACGAAACTTTCTTACTCCTAGATGCAACCACTCACCAAAAAGGAAAAAAAGGAAATGTTGTTGGACGGACAGACCAACAGACAGACAGAGTATATATCAAATTCCCCTTTCTCACTCGGCAGCATCTAGTTTTCAGCAGAGCCGTAGAGAGACTGGTTATATACGGTTGCAATTCAGATTCTCCCTTGTTCTGCTGGGGGACTTCAATGATCACGTGGGCAATGACAGTGAGACCTGGAGGGGTGCGGTTGGGAGGAATGGCCCCCCTGATCTGAACCCGAGTGGTGTTCTGTTATTGGACTTCTGTGCTTGTCATGGATTGTCCATAACAAACACCATGTTCAAGCATAAGGGTGTCCATATGTGCTCTCGGCACCAGGACACCCTAAGCCACAGTTCAATGATCGACTTTATCGTCTCATCATATCTGCGGCCGCATGTCTTGGACACTCGGGTGAAGAGAGGGGTGGAGCTGCCCACTGACCACTACCTGGTGGTGAGTTGGCTCCGATGGTTGGGGAGGATGTCCGTCAAACCTGGCAGGCCCAAACGTATTGTGAGGGTTTGCTGGAAATGTCTGGCAGTCTCCTGTGAGACGGAGATTTAACTCCCACCACTGGGAGAACTTTGAACATGTTCCGGGGGAGGTAGGGGACATTGAGTCCGAGTGGGCCATGTTCCGTGCCTCTATTGTCGAGGCGGCTTACAGGAGCTGCGGCCACAAGGTTGTCTGTGCCTGTTGCGGTGGCAACCCTCGAACCAGGTAGTGGACACCGGCGGTGAGGGAGGCTGTCAGGCTGAAGAAAGAGTCCTATCGGGCCTTTTTGGCCTGTGGGACCCCGGAAGTCGCTGATGGGTACTGGCAGTTCAAGCGACATGCGGCTCAGGTGGTTGCTGAGGCAAAAACTCAGGCATGGGAGGAGTTCGGAGAGGTCATGGAGAATGACTTCCGCATGGCTTCGAGGTGATTCTGGTCCACATCTGGCATCTCGGGGGGGAAAGTGGTACACCACCAACACTGTTTATAGTAGGGGTGGTGTGCTGCTGACCTCAACTCGGGATGTTGTGGGTCGGTGGGCAGAGTACTTCGAAGACCTCTTCAATCCCACCGGCACGTCTTCCACTGAGGAAGCGGAGCCTGGGGACTTTGGGTCAGACTCGCCAATCTCTGGTGCTGAGGTCACCGAGGTGGATAAAAAGCTCCTTGGTGGCAGGGCCCCAGGGGTGGTTGAGAGTCGCCTGGAGTTCCTTAAAGCTCTGGATATTGTAAGGTTGTGTTGGCTTACACGACTCTGCAATATTGTGTGGACATCGGGGGAAGTTCCTCTGGATTGGCAGACCGGGGTGGCGGTCCCTCTATTCAAAAAGGGGGACCGTTTAGTGTGTTCCAACTACAGGGGGATCACGCTCTTAAGCCCCCCGGTAAGGTCTATTCGGGAGTTCTGGAGAGGAGGGTCTGTTGGATAGTCGAACCTCGGATTCACGAGGAGCAGTGCAGTTTTCATCCTGGTCGTAGAACAATGGACCAGCTCTACACCCTCAGCAGGGTCCTGGAGTGTGCGTGGGAGTTTGCCCAACCAGTCTATATGTGCTTTGTGGACTTGGAGAAGGCGTTCCACCGCGTCCCTCGGGGAACCCTGTGGGAGGTACTCCGGGAGTATGGGGTACCAGGCCCTTTGATACTGGCTGTTAGGTCCCTATATGACCGGTGTCAGAGCTTGGTCCACATTTCCGGCAGTAAGTCGGGCTCGTTCCTGGTGAGAGTTGGACTCTGCCAAGGTTACCCTTTGTCTCCAATTCTGTTCATAACTTTTCAATCAATCAATCAATCAATCACCTTTATTTTACCAGGTAGAGCCCGTTGAGATCGAGATCTCTTTCACAAGGGTGACCTGGTCAAGTGGTCATCAGCACACGTCACAGGGTAATTGACAATAAGCATTTACATTTATCAAAAGAAAAAAGAAACTACTATCACGATAAATAAATGTTAACAGTTTGAAACCATCCGGATAAGACAGACTTCTGTAGACATTAAATGTAGAGCAGACATCAGGTTAAGTATACAGAGTTAAAAGTGAACAAAGACATGTATATTTGATAAGTAGTGTTTTAGAAACATCTGCAATGGTCCATATTTTTGATAACATTATCTGATACGGTTGACATGAAGGATCTAGGCGAGATGAGTGTTGATAGTTTCAAATCTGTCTGTAAGTTGTTCCAGGCTGAGGGGACGGCGAAGCTGAATGCTCTTTTTCCTAGTTCAGTTCTGACCAGAGGAACTGACAGGAGGATTAGGTCATTAGAGCGCAGGGAGTAATGATTGTGTGATGTTTGTATTAGGGAGGTAAGGTATGAAGGGACTAGGTTTAGAAGGGTCTTATAGATAAAGGATATCCAGTGAGTGTATCTGCGAGCGCTGAGAGAAGACCAGCTAGACTTGACGTAAAGTTCACAGTGATGAGTGCGATAACTGGAATCAGTAATGAATCGAAGGGCACCATGATAAACTGAGTCTAAGGACTTTAGGTATTTTGATGCAGCACTTATGTACAGCACGTCACCATAATCTAATATCGGCATGAAAGTTGCAGCTACTAATGTTCTCCTGGCTTTACATGAGAAGCAGGATTTATTTCTGAAGTAGAAGCCTAGCTTCAATTTGAGTTTAGTGGCCATTTTGGAGATGTGGATTTTAAATGACAGTTTATTGTCAATGTTGAAACCTAAATATTTGTAGGTGGAGACCATTTCTATTTGTTTTCCCTCTTGGGTTTCAATTTGAGGTGGGTTCTCTGGTTGCTGCTTTCTGTTGGATAAAACCATGATCTTGCTTTTGTCAGCATTTAGGACCAGTCTAAGTTTTTGCAGACGTGACTGGATAATATTAAAAGCGTCTTGAAGAGAGGTGAAGGCTTGGCTGAGGGAGGATGAACAGCAATAAATGATAGTGTCATCTGCATAATAATGGTGGGAGGCGTTTGACAGATCACTGCATAGATCATTGATATATAAGGAGAAAAGAATGGGACCCAAGACAGAACCCTGTGGCACCCCTTTCACAACATCTAGGAACGTAGAGGAGGATCCGGCTACATGGACAGACTGTGTTCTGTCAGTTAGATAGTTTGTGAACCAGGAGACTGCTAGTTTTGATAGACCAGAGTGTTTCAGGATGTTAAGTCAATAGTCTGTGATCAACTGTATCAAATGCCTTGGATAGGTCTATAAATAGGGCAACACAGTATTGTTTGCTGTCCAGGGCATGTATGATGTCATTTAATACTTTGAGAACTGTAGTTACGGTACTGTGCTGTTTTCTGAATCCTGACTGGAATTGTGATAAAATATTATTTGATTGTAGAAAAACAGTTAGCTGATCACAGACAAGTCTTTCGAACAGTTTAGCAAGAATACATAATTTAGAAATTGGTCTGTAGTTGTTGACATTAGTTGGTTCACCCCCTTTTAGCAGAGGGAGAACATGAGCCGATTTCCAGATTTTGGGTATTGTATTTGTATTTAGACTGAGATTGAAAATACATGAAAGTGGTTCAGCAATGAAATCTGCAGCAAGTTTTAGGAAAAGTGGTTCTATGTTGTCAGGTCCTGCTGCTTTGCGTGTGTCAAGAGTTTTTAGAGCATTTAGAACCTCACTGGGAGATATTGATACAGCAATACAGATATTGATGGACAGCATTTCTAGGTACAGCCAAGGTGTTTAGGGTATCAGTTTTGGTGGCCTTAGGATCGTGTCTCTGCTTTGTGCAGATGATGTGATCCTAATGGCTTCATCATGTTGTGATCTACAGCTTTCGCTGGAGCGGTTCGCAGCCGAGTGTGACGCAGCTGGGATGAAGATCAGTTCCTCCAAATCCGAGGCCATGGTCTTGAGCCGGAAAAGGGTAGAGTGCCCTCTCCGGGTCGGGGAGGAGGTCCTGCCCCAAGTGGAGGAGTTCAAGTATCTTGGGGTCTTGTTCACGAATGAGCGAAAAATGGAGCGAGAGATCGATAGGCGGATAGGTGCAGTGTCTGCAGTGAAGCAGGCGCTGTACAAGTCTGTCGTGGTGAAGAGACAGCTGAGTCAAAAGGCGAAGATCTCAATTTACCAATCAATCTAGATTCTTACCCTCATCTATGGTCATGAGCTTTGGGTTGTGACCAAAAAAACGAGATCTAGGATACAAGTGGCCGAAATGAGTTTTCTCCGCAGGGTGTCTGGGCTCTCCCTTAGAGATAAGGTGAGAAGCTCGGTCATCCAGGAGGGACTCAAGAGTAGAGCCGCTGCTTCTCCACGTCGAGAGGAGCCAGTTGAGATGGCTGGTTAGGATGTCTCCTGCATGCCTCCCTGGTGAGGTGTTCTGGACACGTCCCACCGAGAGGAGACCCAGAGGAAGACCAAGGACATGCTGGAGGGACTATGTTTCTCGGCTGGCCTAGGAACGCCTCGGGAATCCCCCGGAAG